CGCCCCAACCCCTTCAAGCCCTATAAGGGTGTACAGGGATTTGAATTGTGTAGGGTTTTTGGAGTTTCAAGGGTTTCAAGGGCTGTTGAGATTGGGTTTGGGGTTTTGGGCTACACAGGTTGTTTTAAGGGTTTCAGGCGTTTATAGGGTTGGAAGGGTTTCGGGTTTAAAGGGTTTAGGACTTTGGGGTTTAGGGGTTATAGGTTTAGGGCTGAGGAGTTGAGGGTTAATAGAGATAGGGCTTGCAGGCTTTAGCGTCTTCGGGTCTAGGGGTTAGGGCTTAGGGCTTGTTGGGTCTGGACCGCCCCAAAAACACCACCACACGGAAATGCATGCAGTTTAGGGTTTTGGGGAAACCCCAGACCCAAAACCCAAAACAGCAAATGCTTAAGCCCCAACCCCAAAGCCCCAAACAGCAAAACCCTCAACAACCCGAAGCCCTTCAAACCCCATAAGCCTTTTGCCCCGAAACCTTGAAACCCCAAACTCCAAACCCTAAGCTCTAAGCCTTACCCCCCAACCCTAAACCCCAAACCCTAAACCCTAAACCCTAACCCCCCGCCTCCCAACAGGCTTGGCCAGCCTCAAGTCTCAGCTCTGAAATGAAAGCCCTACCTTAAGAACCCAAAGTTGACTTTCCTTTGTAGGTTCGCGAAGAATCCCACAACTGGCCATCACAAGAGCCCACGAATAAGAAGGTTTTGGGTTCTTAAGGTAAGCCCTGAACCCGAAGTAAACCCCCAACACAAACACCAAAAGTCTTAACCCTAAGCCCTAAACCCTAATCCCTCACAGTCGACCCAAAGGGCTTCTTCCGTGGTGTTCGAGAAGTCGCCGGCCGCCGCTGGGGCTGCGAGGGGGGCTGCTGAGGGGTTTAGGCTTGAGGGTTTAGGGTTTGGGGTTTAGGAGGTTTAGGGTTTAGAAGGTTTCGGGGTTTAGGGTTTCGGCTTTAGCAGGGTTTGGGGTTTAGGGTTTGGGAGGCTTAGGGATAGGGGTTGTGGGCTGAGGACGATTTCCTGAATCTTTGGCCTTCCGCCCTGAACCTGGCAGCCCTGAAAGGGTGTAGGGCTTGGGGGGTTTTAGGGCTGTAGGGTTTTTTGGGGGTCTTGGGGGTTAGGGGATTAGGGATTTAGGGGGTTTTGACATTTTGAGGCTTGCGAGTTCGGAGGCCCTAGACCCTAAACCCTAAACCCTAAACACCTCAACTCCACAAGCCCTTAATTACCTGGTTCCATCTGTAGTTCGGGTTTTGGGGTTGAGTTTGAGCCAGCAGTCCGTGCACCCCAACCGTAAAAAGCATCTGAAGCTCAGCGCCCCTATAAAAAAAACCCAAACTAAGATCCCTGAAACCCTAAACTTAAAACCCCTATCTCTCTAGACCGCCCTCAGCTGTAGTGCCCTTGAGCTTCTGTCAAGGTGGACCGCCGACAAACGACGACCGGGCCTTACCTGTTCTCCACAGTGTCGTCCTGTTTGGGGAGGAGGTTTAGGGTTTAGGGTTTGGGGTTTAGGATTTAGGGTTTAGGGTTTCGCATGCCCCACGCAGAAGCGACTCCCCATGAAAGCAAACCTGTTTTGGCGACTCCTGCCACCGACTTCGGTGATGCATGCTACTCAAGCTGGCAGATTCACACGGCTTTGCTGCGCGATGCGCGCCGCGCAAAGTTTCGCATGACTCCTCTTCCCGGTGATTCGCGCTACTCTTCTCTCAGCCCACGCAGCCTAAACCCATTCAGCATCCGGGGTTCCCAGCGGCCTCCCGCGCGCAGCGGTTGCTGGTGGGAGGGTTAAAAGGGGGACCATTGCACACAAACACCACCCTCGTTCGGTGGTTGCCCGAGTCTGCGGGCTGTATGTGCTGAATCCACCATGAGCCCAAATCCCAAAGCCCCAAACCCAAAAAACCCAAAGCCCCAAACCCAAAAAACCTTAAACTCCAAACCCCAAACCCCAAACCCTAAACCCGAAACCCCAAACCCCAAACCCTAAAACCCAAACCCAAAACTCTAAACCCCAAACCCTAGATAGAACAAAGCCCAAAGCTGCCAAGGGCCTCCTCCCACGCGTCGTCCTCGCCCCGAGCTGCTGATCGCTCACCCGTGCAGCCTGGCTCGACATCACTCCAAAACCCTAAACCCTAAACCCTAAACCCTAAACCCTGAACCCTAAACCCGAAACCCTAAACCCTAAACCCTAAGACGCTAAACCCTAAACCCTAAACCCTAAACCCTAAACTCTAAACCCTAAACCCTAAACCCTAAAACCCTAAACCCTAAACCCCAAACCCTAAACTAAACCCTAAACCCTAAACCCTATATAAAACCTCCCTAAACCCTAAACCCTAAACCCTAACCCTAAACCCTGAACCACAAGCCCTAGACCCGAAAGCTTAGCTCTAAACCCTTTGCGCCACGAAACCCGAAATCTCCTAAGCCCTGAAGCGCCTGCCTGGTTTAGGGTTTAGGGTTTAGGGTTTAGGGTTTAGGGTTAGGTTTTAGGGTTTAGGGTTGTGGGTTTCGGGTTTAGGAATTAGGGTTGTGAGCACCTTAACCCCTTAAACCCTCATACCCAAAACCTTCCCCAGCTAAACCTTAAACCCTAAAACCCTAAACCCTAAACCCCAAACCCTAAACCCCAAACCCTAAACCCTATAACCCTATAGCCCTATAGCCCTAGTGAATGTAAATCCTAAACCCTAAACCTCTCAGGAGCCCGACCAGCAGCTGCTCCCCAAGGCGGTCCCCACACCTGGTCGTCCCGAACGCGAAGCAGAAGGCGCTTTGCGGGAGGGGGAAGGGGGGGAAGTGAATGGGGCTGAGGCCTTGATCCTGAGGCGTCTGGCCGAGAGGTTTAGGGTTTTGGGGTTTTGGGGTTTTAGGGTTTTAGGGTTTTAGGGTTTTAGGGTTTTAGGGTTTTAGGGTTTTAGGGTTTTAGGGTTTAGGGTTTAGGGTTTAGGGTTGAACGTTGTGGGTCTCAGGTTGAGGCTTCTAGGGTTCTAACTCCGGGGGTTGAGGCGCAGGGTTCGGGGCCAAGGGGTTTGAGGACTGAGCTCTGAAGCCTGGAGGCCCGAATCTTCGCTCTACTTAGCGTTCCAAGCAGCCCTCGCCAAGCTCAAACGCCCCTACGGCGTTTAGGGTTTAGGGTTTAGGGTTTAGGGTTGAGGTGAGCCGCAACCCCCAGCAGCACCCGTTGTTTGTGGGAGCGCGCGGCACGCGGAAAATCGATGCCCGGCCCCTGAGGCGTTCTCGAAGCGACGGCGAGGGCCCCAGCTTTGGGGGGGAACGGGGATTCCCTAAACCCTAAACCCTAAACCCTAAGCCCTAAACCCCCAAACCCCAAACCTTAAACCCTCAACTCAACCCGAAACCCCAACACCCTAAACCCTGAACCCTAAACCCGAAACCCTAAACCCTGGCTCGAAACCATTCAAGGTGCAACGTTTTCGTTCAGAGCCTCTTTAGCGCCAGGGTTTTGGGGTTCAGCTTCCTTGGCTCTGTCGCCAGCAAGCGCGAGTGCCCCTCCCTACCTGGTACCCGAAACCCATAACTTGGAAAAACAAGGGATTCCCCACAGACCCCAAACCCTAAACCCTGCTAAACACGTTCCCCTTTAGTTCAAGGTTGGAGCTATTTACCTTTGCCTTGAATTGGGTTTCGGGCTGACGTGGAGATTGTTTACTGAAGCAGCAGCTTGAGGTTAGCGCCCCCTACTGGTAGCTCTTACCCTACGATTCAGGGTTGAGGAGGTTAGGGCCCTGAATCTCAAAACCCTGATGCCCGTTGCTAGCCTTAAGCCCTAAACCCTAAACCCTAACCCTAAACCCTAAACCCTAAACGTACGTAGCCATGTCTCGCCCTTTGCTAGGAGCCTTTCCTTGCTTTCCAGCCAGTCCGAGACACACATCAAGGCGCCTGTCCTCCCCTCTTCCAAGGGCCCAAGGGGTTTAGCACCAGGGCTTAAAGGGCCTTAGGGTTTAGGGTTTTTTTAGGGTTTAGAGTTTAGTACTAGGGCTTAGGGGGCCTTAGGGTTTAGGGTTTATAGGGTTTAGAGTTTAGTACCAGGGCTTAGGGGGGCCTTCGGGTTTAGGGTTTATAGGGTTTAGGGTTTAGGGCTTAGGGGGGGGCTGTTCTGACTTCGGGTTTCTTGTTTCGAGAGCTCTCAAGAAGCAGCACCCTTATCATGACCAAAGTTTGCAAAAGGCGGCCTGAATGCAAAAGAACCGCGCTCCCCATCCATGGTGGGGGGGGGGGGGGGTCTAGGGCTTCTGGTTGCAACTGGAAGGTTGAGTAGGGCCTAGGGTTTAGGGTTTAGGGTTTAGGGTTTGACCAAGTATCCCTTGCTGAGTGAAGACACGGTTGCACCTGGCTTCAAGGTTTCAGGGGTAGATGCCTACGGCGTGGCTGTGGAGTGCGCTCGGGGCCGGCAGCGAGCTGCTGCGGGGTTTATCCCCTGCTTTCTGTCCCGCCTGTCCGTGGGGACTTGTGGGACTGCTCGTGCTCCTTGCGTGCTGCTTCGGCTGCTGCCTAGGGGCCTCCTTAGCCAGTATCTTCCTTTCGCCATTGCTTCGACGAGCCTGCCTCAGTGCTGGTCGGATTCTTCTTGCTGGACTACAAGCCGGTGAGGTCACCCGGGCTGCACCTGATCTTCGGCGTTTGTCCGAGTACAGACAGGCTCGGTCAGTGCGCGAGCGAGACTCCTGAACAAAAGCTCGAAGAGATCACTTTGCGTGTGGGGGCTTCGCAAATTTGCAACCGGGGCAGAGCGCTACAGCCGGTGACCTTTGGGGAGTCAGGCTTCACTTTGACTTTGTTTGAAGGCTCAGCTGGGACTAACCTCCAGGCGCAGACCTCAGCGCTTTCGTGAGAACGGTGCTGGCTGCTTCGCCAAACGAGCTCGTCCGCCAGGTGAGACCGGCTTTGCTGTGTGTTGCCTTCCTTTGCTTCGGCTGCGGATAGCGTCTACGTGGTCCCTCAGTGGCGCTTTCTACGGCCTGAACGGCCATGGCCGCCGCCGCTCTGAACAAGCCCCCATGTACCCAGGCACAGGTGGAGGCCCTCGGCGAGACGATCGAACCCGGAAAGGCCCTGCCTGCGCTCTTTGCGCTGCTGGGGAAAGATGGCGAGGATGGTGCTGGGCCCAGCCGCTTGGGGCAAGCCTACCTGGTGCGAACGAGGCATGGTGGTTTTCTGGTTGTTTTGCCTTTCGACGACCGTGTCATCGAGGCCATGCGTGCGCTAAAGTCCGACGATGGCGAGGATCTGGTCTTGGAGCACCGTGCCAGGGTGGAGCTGGAGACGGTGCGTGGGCGCACACTCGGCAAGCACGACGTCTACTTCGTGGATGTGCCCTGGGAAGGGGTAAGTGGCTTCACAAAGAGCCACCCTCTGCGAGGGGCAGCTGCCCGCGAACTCCGACTGACTGCCTTCTCCGCCGAGGGCGTCTCCGCGCGCCCACGAACTGTAAGCGTGCTGCGGGCAGCGGCGCGCTGGGTTCAGACGGCCATGGACAGCTCTACAGCCGCCGAGTATGTCACCGGCGAGGACGAAGAAACTGGGATGGGGGTGCCAGAGACCGCTGTCCTGTCCGAGGACGAGGCGGAGGTCGATGGCCAGCCCGTGGAAGAGCAGGAGATGGTGAGCTTCTTGCAGGACCGGATTCGACAACTCGAGGCTGTCCTGAACCAGAGGCCCCAACCACAAGACGATCGGACCGCCAGTGGACGCTCGGCGCCTCTTCTGGCGAGACCCTCCCAAGGCTTGGACACTGGGGCCCTCGAGCGACTGCGCAGCTTGGCGGGACCTCCTCCGCGGCAGCCTCTTCTGGGGCAGACCCCAAAGGTTGCAGCTCCACGCCCACCAGCTGTTCTCCGAGATTCTCTCTTCAGGGAAGCAGAGCTGGGGGCCTTACCGGAAGTTGCAGCCGAGGACCCGTTTGTCGGGGCCGACTCAGCACCGGATCCCCTGCACCAGCTACTGGCTCTGTTGGTGGATCGTGTAGCGCCGGCAAAGCAGCAGGACGCCGTAGCAGCAGCGCGAAGCAGCGGCCAGGGCAGCGGAAGCGACAGCTCAGGCATAAAAGGATGCTTGGCGAGGGAAGCCTTTTTGCGGCAGATCCAAGACCTCCCGACAGTGGGGGAGATCGCTCGTGTCAACGCGCTCCGCGATCTGGGGCTCGACAGAGAAGATCCGAGTCTGATGAAGACCTGCATAGAAAGAAGATTCCCGCTTACCAACCACCGCCTCCTGGGGCACGTAGCCCAGTTCGCGGCAGAGGGGTGGGAGGCAGGAGTGCGGCTCCAGAATCCCGAGCTTCGGGGCTTCGCCGCCCGTCTTCTGATATTTGTGGAACAAGCTTCGCTGGACAGCGGACGCCTGCAGCTCGCGTGGCTGCTCGGCGGCTACGCTGAGCCGCCTCCCCAGCTGTGGAACAACAGCCGACGGAGCTCCCTCAAGCCGTTTTCTTCCCTGGCACACCCCAGCTGGGTAGCCGGCAACATCGCTTTTCTTCGAGACCTCGATTATTTCGAGAATCGGATGAGTTCCCTCAACAACAAGGAGGGCCGAGCGACGTCAAGAGGATGTCGACACTCCTGGAACCGATGCAAACGCAGCGGCCCCGAGTTGGCGCCGTCGAAAGCCAAAGGCAAAGGCGAGCAGCACAGCGTAGATGGGGGCCTGGGCTCTTTTGAAGGCCGTGGGGTTTTGGGCCGCGGCTACCGTCCCGCAAGTGGTGGCAGCCACGAGTTCCCTGAGCGGCCTTTGCCTGACCTGGACCCCAGTTCTACAAAGCCCCTTTGCCCGGCTGAATTAGTTCAGTACACTCTCCGTGCCCTTAGGTCCGGTTGTTGTGGTTTAAGTTGGTTTATTAAACTCTCCCTTAGGGACCCCGCCTGCACCGCGCAAATCACCCCTGCTGGTGATTCACTCTGGCCGATCCCACCTCCTCGGTGGCGTTGGTTCGGCCAAGGCCGCAGTTGCAAGTCCAGACGCCGGCGCCGGTATTTTCAGACCCGCGCCCACCTTCTCCAGGTTGTGGTTTGTAGCCTAAATTGGCAGACCCTAGGCTTTCCCCTGGTTCCCCCTCGTGGTTGCACCCTAGGCTGCCCTATAAACCCCGCCCAGCACCGCGTGCTTGAACACCTGGAGGGGCTGCTCGATCACTTTCTCAGTGCGCCGAGTTTTTCGCCCGAGGCTCTGGGTCGCTGTGGCCCTAAGTTTTCTGCATTTGCTAGCGTTGCACAGGAACTGCCGAGCAACAATCGCATGGATGTGGACCTCTTTGCTAAATTAGCTAAAGCTTTGCATGTTGACTTTGATGCTTATAGTAAAGCGGAGGCCTCGCGTGAGCCTAGTGCCCCGGAGCCTGCACCTATGAGCACAGCCAATGTCAGGGACACAGGTTCGCTGGAGGCCTCTGTGTTGCCTAGCGCCCCTGCTCGCGCGTCAGCGGGTGGCTCTCCCGCAGAGACTCTCTCGCGCTCGCTGCGTGAGTTGGATACCTTGAAGGTGACTGCATCCCGCATAAAATGGAAACACCCCCCAGAGTTCGATCCCCTACCATACCTCGACGACCCTCTTCTGAGAGCTGCATACATCGACCCCGAGGTCCTCAGGCTCCCGAGCAGTCAGTGGGCTCACGCCCGTCCCGCCCTCGTGCACGCCGAGCGAAACGAGCTTCTTGCACTTGCTCGGGCCTGGGATGCTCATGGTGCTTTGTGCATTTTTGGGGCTGATGAGCTGAACGCCTTAGATCAAAACGAAGAGGTGGGCTTGTTTGCGGTGAGGACCTGGAGTGGGACAGACTTATCATCAATCCAACTGTGGTCAATGGGCGCATGCTTACCCGCAACACCTTCTCCAAAGGCCTGTCGCCGGGTTGGCTCTTGAGTTCCTTGCATCTCCAGCCTTTTGAAGGCCTGCGTTATCATGCTGCTGACTTGTCAGACTTTTACCACAGCTTTAAAGTTTCAAGGCGCCGCGCGCTGCGCAACCGGGTTCGCGCACGCTTTCATGCTCATGAGCTCCGCGGACTCAGCTCCTTCGATCCTTCCCTCCGAGAACCCCTCGGGATCGGACTGAACACGCTCGCAATGGGCGATAACCTTGCTGTTGAAGTAGCTCAGGCTGCTCACACCGGCTTGTTACGCAAACTTTGTGGCTGCATGTTGCCTGGAGAAGTGCTGCGCTACAGGGAGCCCGTCCCACGTGGCTCCCTCATTGAAGCTTTAGCTATCGATGACCACGTCTGTCTGCAAAAGCTTCCTCTGGCCGAGCTTCCCTTCGCTGATGATGCTCGTGATGCTCGCATCTTTGGCATGGCTGCCGATGCCTATGCTGGGGTGGGTCTGCACCAAAACCGCAAGAAGGACAAAGTCAAGTGCACCTCGGGGGTTGTCCTTGGGGCCGAGCTGGATGGGATCAAGGGGGTCGTTTGCGCGCCACGGGAGCGCGTCCACTGCCTCTGCATGCTCACGGGTTTTGTTGCCCGTCGTGGTTCGTGTACGCCCGAACTACTCGATTCCCTTTTGGGATGCTGGATCCACGTCCTTTTGTTCCGACGCCCGCTGTTTTGCATCATTGATGGCTTGTTCGGTGAAGGGAAGGGTTATGGTCGTACTCGGGTCTTCAGGTTGTCACAAAAGGCACGTAACGAACTGTTCCTCCTTTCGGTGTTAGGCGGTTTAGCGCAGAGCGACCTTAGAGCCCAGTACCATGACAGCCTGTTTGCCCTCGATGCCTCGCCCTGGGGGGGAGCTGTGTGTAGCGCCGCTGTTGGCGCTCAGGCATCAGCTGAGCTCTGGAGGTACGGGGAACAGAGGGGTTACTACACCCGCCTCGCTTCGCCGGCCTCGGCTGTTCTGCTCGAGCACTCGATAGAGCATGATGGGGATCGCGCTTTTGGAGATACAACGATTGGTGACACAGACCATCGCGCTCCTTTGCGCCCGTTCAACTTAACGCGCCCTTTGGCCGAAGGTATCCTCTATGATGCCGTTGAGCTGTTCAGGGGTGTAGGGAACTGGTCCGAGGCGCATGCCAAGGTGGGGCTCAGGGTCCATTCGGGGCTTAGCGCTAAAACTTGTAAAGGGCTCTCGGCTGATATCCTTGACGATGCCGTGTGCCGGGATCTCATGTCGCTTGCGGCTCGCCGAGTCGTCAGAGAATGGCATGCTGGCGTGCCGGGCCACACCTATGGGACGCTCCGAAGGCCCCGCCTTAGGTCCCATGCTTGCCCTTTTGGTTTTAAGCCCTCTGACCCTCTGACCTTAGAGCACACAAGAATCGCTAGGCGCGCAGCCCTGATCCTGACACTGGCTGTTCGCTGCGGCCAGCTCATCTCAGTCGAGCAACCTTCTGGCAGCTGCCTGTACCGCTTGGCGTGCTTTCAAAGGCTAGCCAGTCTGGGCTGTGTACTCACCAGCTTTTGCTTTTGCTCGTTTGGTTCTCCTTTCCGAAAGCGCTCCTTATGGCTGCACAATAAGCCATGGGTAGCCGAGCTTGCAGGGGATTGCGTTTGTAAGTGGAAGGGAAAGCATTTCAGCGCACGGGGGTGGCATTTCGACAGCAAGAGTGTTCGTGAGTTTGTCTCTCGCTGCAGGCCTTCCTGTGAAGCAGTCTACGGGGCTGCCCCTGTGCCCGGTCAGTCTGTTGCCAGCTTTTCTGGAAGCTACCCTAAACCGCTGGTTCTTCGAATGGCTGCCGGCTCCTTGGCCGCTAAAGATGGGCTGCTGCAGCCGCTGAGCAAGGACCTGCAGAGCGCCACCTTGAAGCGCCTGGGAGTCACGGAACCCGCTGAGTTCGACTGCCGTGTGGGCGCCGAAGAGCCCTTTGCAGCCCGGGCCTGGCATGAGGACCCCCCATGGGTCTCCGAGCTGTGCCAAAGCCTTAAGTTCAGGGAGCGGTTTAGGTACCACTTTGTTAAGCCTGGTCACATTAATGTTAATGAAGCCCGGGTCTACAAATCGTGGATAAAGTCAGTGGCGAAGGAGCGCGTCAGTTGCCGAGCTGTCGCCTTGTTGGATTCCCGTGTCACCATAGGCGCGGCGGCAAAGGGTCGATCCAGTTCATATGCCATCTCTAGGGTTCTTCAGGGTTGTTTGGGGTATGTTCTTGGTTCAGGGATTTATCCCGGGTTAATCCACTGTAGTTCGGGCGACAACGTCGCCGACGAACCTTCCCGTGACAAGCCCGTTAAAGCCCCCCTTAGAGAACCCAGCCGTTGGATAACTGATTTGATCGCAGGGAATCCCGCGCAGTTCGACCTTGTGGTGCGGTCGTCCGAGCTGCAGAAGCTGCCAGGTCTCTAGATGAGACTGCTTCTTCTGTTGGGCGGTGATATAGAGAGAAACCCTGGGCCGCGCCGTGCCCGAGCTTTGCAGCCCAGGGGACCGCTTGACACCGAAGCAGGGTACGCTCCGAGCACCACGCACAAGATGCGGAAAGCCTTTGCTGCCTTTGTCGAGTACCTCGTAGCTGTGCAGGGCGTGGTGGCCGAGAGTGTCTTTGAGGACAACCGCGCCACCGAGGCTGCTCTCAGAAGCTTTGGTCTGCATCTCTTCGAGCATGGCTTTCCTCGATATCTTCTGGTTTATGCGATCACTGCTGTGCAAAACCGCTTCCCTGCTTATCGACATCATCTCGCGGCTGCCTGGCAAGTCGATTTGAAATGGAGGCTTGCTGAACCAGGCGAATGCCGCGCAGTCCTTCCGGCCGGGGCCATCAGGGCGATGCTCGCTCTCGGTGCTTTGTGGGGCTGGCGCGCTTGGACTGGCCTTCTCTTGCTCGGCTTTCTCGCCATGCTACACCCTGCTGAGATGATTGGGCTCACCAGGCGCGATCTTGTCTTTCCTGCTGACAATCTTGGTCATGTGCGGTGTCTCTATGTGAGGCTCTTGAATCCGAAAACTTCTCGCTTCGCACATCGCCAACACGGCAAGATCGACGACATGTTCGCGGTTGAGATCCTCGAGACCATCTTCGGTGCATTACCCCGCGATGCCTTGCTTTATCCTGCGTCGATGCACACCTTTCGACGTTACTGGGATATGGCGTTACAGCGCCTGGAAATTCCTTGCAGGGCTGCCGATCGCGGAGCTACCCCTGGTGTTCTTCGTGGATCGGGAGCAACTTATTTTTACCAGCAAACAGAAAACCTCCAGCTCTTGGCATGGCGAGGACGTTGGTCAAGGATGAGAACCCTGGAGTATTATCTACAGGAGGTAGCTGCCCAGATGCTTCTTGGCGAACTCGCCCCGGGAGCCAGAGCTCGCGTCGGAGCCCTTGACCAAGCCTGCGACCAAGTTCTTTACACAGTCTTCTGTTGCGGCGGTGCTTCGCAGTATTGATGGAGTGGAAAAGAGCTGCCATCTGCGTGCGCCTCGTCTGGCGGCTTCTTCAAATCTCCAGCTTTCAGCTGTCTTCCAAGCCATTGCTCGAAGAGCGATCGCTTCAGCTGGCGGACAGCAGTCGGGACATCTTGCAACTGCAGGCGAGAAAGAGGCCAGGGATGACCAAGTATCCCTTGCTGAGTGAAGACACGGTTGCACCTGGCTTCAAGGTTTCAGGGGCCCAGCCCACCCGCCCGGAAAAGAGCTGCCATCTTCGTGCGCCTCGTCTGGCGGCTTCTTCAAATCTCCAGCTTTCAGCTGTCTTCCAAGCCATTGCTCGAAGAGCGATCGCTTCAGCTGGCGGACAGCAGTCGGGACATCTTGCAACTGCAGGCGAGAAAGAGGCCAGGGATAGGGTTTAGGGTTTAGGGTTTAGGGTGCCACTCTCTTGGAGCTTCAGGGTTGAGGGTGCTATGAAGCGGACTCTCTGCTTCTGCTTCCCCCTCTGTCAGCTCGGATCTTCCCCCCCCTCCAACCCCTCAAGACACCTTGACCCTAAACCCTAAACCCTAAACCCTAAACCCTAAACCCTAAACCCTAAACCCTAAACCCTAAACCCCAAACCCCAAACCCTAAACCCCTAAACCCCCAAACCCCCTAAGCCCTCAGCCTTCCAGCCTGCCAAGCGCCGGACTCCCCCTCCTCTTCCCAGGAGGGCCCTTGAGATGTTTGGCATATTTTCCCTGATTCAATTTAGGGTTTAGGGTTTAGGGTTTAGGGTTTAGGGTTTAAGGTTTTTTGTGTAGGGTTTAGGGTTCAGGGTTTAGGGTTTAGCATCATATCTCAGGATTATCTTCCCTTATAGGGTTTAATAGGATCAATTTCGGGAGCCTCTTCCCTGATAGGGTTTCAGAGGATCATATTTCAGGAGCATTTCCCTTAGAGGTTTTAAGAGGATCATATGCAGGAGCATTTTCCCTTAGAGGGTTTAAGAGGATCATATTCAGGAATGTTTTCCCTTAGAGGGTTTCGGAGGATCATACTCAAGAATGTTATCCCCTATAGGGGTTTAGGAGGATCCTATTCCGGATGTTTTTTAGGGTTTAGGGTTTACGGTTAAGGGGCCATCCTCCTCTTTGCTGTCAGAGGCCCACGAAACCCGCAAGAGCTTTCAGCGGCCGAAGCCCCCTGGCTCTCGGGATTTTTGGGGCGTTAAGGGTTTCAGGGTTTAGGGTTTAGAGTTTAGGGTTTAGGGTTTAGGGAAGTTTAGGGTTAAGGGTTTAGGGTTTAGGGAGGTTTAGGGTTTAGGGTTTAGGGTTTAGGGTTAGGGAGGTTTCAGGGTTTCAGGACTTTAGGGTTCACAGGGGTTTTTCAGGCTTAGGGTTTTCAAGGTGTTAGGGTTTGAGGGCTTCGGGGTTTCGGGCTGAAGGGCTGTAGGATTCCGGTGTCTAGGACTTTACGCCCCAGAGGTTTGAGCCCAAACCCCAAAACCCTAAACCAAACCCCAGCCCCCATTTTCGCGTGTGGTGCGGGTTTGGTACACTTTGGGGGGTTTAGGAGTTAGGGTTTGTATGCTGAGTTGAGGCAATACGGGGTTTTACGAAAATAGGGGGCCGCTAAGATAGCAACCCCACGTCATAGGATTCCCTTGTTATCAGGACCCTGATAAGGTACCCCTAATTTCGGCACCTGACCTTAAAAACCCTAAACCCTAAACCCTAAACCCTAAACCCTAAACCCTAAACCCTAAACCCTAAACCCTAAACCCTAAACCCTAAACCCTAAACCCTAAACCCTAAACCCTAAACCCTAAACCCTAAACCCTAAACCCTAAACCCCGTGTATACGTCATCTGTGGGTTCTGGGGCGCCACTCTGCCGAGGTTTTGGGTGTTATCGTTCGGCTGGTTCCTTGCCAGCTGCGCAGGGTTCGCCGCTGGGACGCTTCAGGGTTAAGGGTTTGGGGTTTGGGGTTTGGGGTTCAGGGTTTAGGGTTTAGGGTTTAGGGTTTAGGGTTTAGGGTTTAGGGCTACGGGTGTGTTGGGTTTAGAACTCTCCGGCCTGTAGTGCTGTAGTAGGCTGGCAGATTCTTGCGTTTCTTTCAAGAGGTGCTGGTGGGCTCGAATGAGCTCCCTGAAAGCTCAACCTTAAAACCCGAAGCCCCAAAACCCTAAACCCTAAACCCTAAACCCTGAACCCCAAACCCTAAAGCTTCAAGTCCTTCTACAAGTTGTTTCTGGAACAGAGCTTGAGTTGATGGGCAACAACACAGGTTCGCCCTTCGCGGTGGACAAAAAGAGAATTGACCAGATGTCTCGGGTCTAGGGTGTTTGGTTTAGGGTTTAGGGTTTAGGGTTTGGGTTACAGTTTAGACTTGACTTGAGCGCTATGCCGAGAAGCCCTGGAAACTTTGTGCATCCGGAGTTTAGGCCCCCCCTGAAACCCGAAGCCCTAAACCCCAAACCTAAACCCTAAACCCTAACCTTAAACCCAACAGTGCACTCAGGTCAACACCTGCGCCTTTTTGGGCTGGGGCATGCCCCTTGTGCTGAGGGTTTAGGGTTTTAGGGTGTAGGGTTTTAGGTTTAGGGTTTAGGGTTTGGGGTTTGGGGTTTGGGGTTTAGGGTCTGAGGGTTTTCGGATTTAGGGTTTAGGGTTTTGGAGTCTGAACCAAGCCCTAGCCAACAGCTACGCACCCCTGGCATTCCACCCCTAAGCGATAATCCCTAAACCCCAAACCCCAAACCCCAAACCCTAAACCCTAAACCTTAAACCCCAAACCCCAAGCCCTAAAACCCCAAACCTTAAACCCCAAACCCTAAACCCCAAACCCTAAACCCTAAGCCCTAAACCCTAAACCCCAAAGCCCAAACCCCAAACCCCAAACCCCAAACCCTAAACCCCAAGCCCTAAACCCTAAACCCCAAAGCCCAAAACCCTAAACCCCAAGCCCTAAACCCCAAGCCCTAAACCCCAAACCCCAAACCCCAAACCCCAAACCCTACGAGGTTCGCTTCCCATATGACCGGCACCTCATCGAAGATCGGCCTCCACTTGGAAGGCGCGGGCCTCTGGAACCCTAAACCCTAAACCCTAAACCCTAAACCCTAAACCCTAAACCCTAAACCCTAAACCCTAAACCCTAAACCCTAAACCCTAAACCCTAAGCCAAAGCTGCGCATTTAGGGTTTGATGACGGTCCTTGGGGGGAAGTCGAGTTTAGGGTTTCGGGTTTAGGGTTTAAGGTTTAGGGTTTAGGGTTTAGGGTCAGGGGGGCTTAGGGGTGTAGGGGTTTAGGGTCTCGCGGTTTAGGGTTTGGGGTTTAGGGTTTAGGGGTAGTGGGTCCAAGGGTTGATGTATTGAGGGGTTTATGGGTTTAGGGTTTAGGCGGTTTAGGGTTGAGGGGTTGAGGGTTCAACGGTTTGGTTTCAGGGGTTTATACGTTCAGAGGTTTATTGCTTCAGGGTCTACTGAAGCTCTTTGTATCTGTTAGGGGCCTGTAACCACCTGATTTGGAGTCGTATCACGGGGTTGCCAACGTGCAGTAAACTCCTAAAGTCTAACCGCTTTGAACTCTTTCTCACAGTTCAGTGAGAGTTGTATAGGGTTGTGCTTTGGAGTCACATAGGGCCCCCACAAAAAAGCTTCTCCTGGTGGCAGCGGCTGCGGCGGCGGCTGCGGTTGCGGCTGCGGCTGCTGCTGCCGCCGCCGCCGCCGACGCGGCGACGACGAGGACGACGAGGAGGAGGAGGAGGAGGAGGAGGAGGAGGAGGAGGAGGAGGAGGAGGAGGAGGAGGAGGAGGAGGAGGAGGAGGAGGAGGAGGCGGCGAGGAGAGGACGACGAGGACGAGGAGGACGAGGAGGACGAGGAGGACGAGGAGCGACGAGGACCAGGAGGACGAGGACGAGCAGGAGGACGAGGACGAGGACGAAGACGAGGACGAGGACGAGGACGACGACGACTAGGACGACAAGGACGACAACGACGACGACGAAGACGACGACCACGACCACGACCACGACCACGACCACGACCACGACCACGACCACGACCACGACCACGACCACGACCACGACCACGACCACGACCACGACCACGACCACGACCACGACCACGACCACGACCACGACCACGACCACGACCACGACCACGACCACGACCACGACCACGACCACGACCACGATCACGACGACCAGGACGAGGACGAGGACGAGGACGAGGACGAGGACGAGGACGAGGACGAGGACGAGGACGAGGACGAGGACGAGGACGAGGACGAGGACGAGGACCAGGACGAGGACGAGGACGAGGACGAGGACGAGGACGAGGACGAGGACAATGAGGACGACGACGACGAGGACGACAAGGAGCAGGAGGAGGAGGAGGAGGAGGAGGAGGAGGAGGAGGAGGAGGAGGAGGAGGAGGAGGAGGAGGAGGAGGAGGACGACGACGACGACGACGACGACGACGACGACGACGACGATTATTATGATTACAACAACTACTACCAGAACCACTGCACTTCTACTGCTACTAGTAGGAGTTGGGGTGAGCTTGTGGCGCGAGGTGTGTGGGCGGGGTAATACTGGGTCCTTTGGGTTGCAAGAAGGGTTCTTTTGGGTGTTTCCGCTTTGTTGGCGGAATGTTGGAGAGCATTGGGGTTATGTGGGAACTTTGCGCCCTCAACCCTGTACTCTAAACCCTCAACCCTCAACCCTAAACCTTGAACCCTGAACCCTTTGTCCACCAGGGGGGGGGTTCCGTGTTGCTCCCCAGGCTTCGCGGCACAGACCGGATATGAGCCACCACCCTGAACCCCTTTCCAGTCCCGAGGCTACCACCACAAGGAGTCGACCTTGCTGGACATGCACTCGGCTTCTCGGCTGCCGATTGCGGGCAATTAAGGCGCAGAATTCTGAGTCTACACCAACCCTAAACCCTAAACCCGAAACCCTAAACCCTAAACCCTAAACCCTAAACCCTAAACCCTAAACCCTAAACCCTAAACCCTAAACCCTAAACCCTAAACCCTAAACCCTAAAACCCTAAGCCTTGAACGCCAACTGTGCCCACAAGGCATCTGCCCGAAGCCCCAGATCAGGTGTGCATCTTGCATCGCGTACATGCTTGTACCCCCCCCCCACCACCCCCAACTCAAAGAAATCAGCCTTTAAACCCTAAACCCTAAACCCTACACCCTAAACCCTAACCCTAAACCCTAAACCCTAAACCCTAAACCCTAAACCCTAAACCCTAAACCCTAAACCCTAAACCCTAAACCCTAAACCTACACCCTAAACCCTAAACCCTAACCCTGAACCCTAAACCCTACACCCGAAACCCGCGTGCATTGAGTACAGCGTGGCTGTGGACGATGCAGCCCCTGATTCACACCCACCCTTGCATGACACACCCTAGACCTTTAAGCCTTAATGCCCCGACCCAAACCCAAAATCAGAAGCCCCAAGCCCCAAACCCTGGAATCAGAAGAAACCCCAAGCCAGGAGACCAACCTGAAACCCTGAATCGCGGAAACCCTTTAATCCCTAAACCCTACACCCTAAACCCAAAAAAACCCTAAACCCTAAAATTCTTGCTGCGCATCTGCGATTCCGGTTCAAAGAAAACCTAAACCCTAAACCCTCAACCCAAAACCCAAAACCCTAAACCCCAAACCCCAAACCCTACAGGCCTTGGCACTGGTGTTCTCCTTCGTGCTGGGCTCCTTCACTTGCGGCCTGCTGCTGGGCCTCTTTGGGTATCTCCTCTTCAGGATTCTGGGTTTTGGGTTCAGGGTTTAGGGTTTAGGGTTTAGGGCTTAGGGCCTAGGGCTTAGGGATTAGGGTGACTGGTTCTGAGTTGTAGGTTTAGGGGTTTGGGTTCCTAGTCAGCAATCTAGTGCCCCAACCCTCCTGGCAACTTTCGCTGGGCTAGACAGGGCGTTTGAAGAGTGCCTCGGTGTGCGTGTGTGTGAGAGAGCCGCGAGGCTCATCGACAAGAACCAGGCAGCATCGTTGTTGCGTGCGCTGGTGTTTTGAGGGCGTTTAGGGGGTCCTGGGGGTTTTCAGGGTGTTTGTTACTTTTTGGGTTGGTTTGGGCTTGGGGGATTTGAGAGGTTGGGGGATTTTGTAGGGTCGTTGCTTCATATTTTAGGCCCCTTGATGAACTCCCTACCCCTTCGCCCTTGTTGGGAGTCTTCAGGAACTCTCAGGGGCAGCGGGTGTTTTTGGGGGCCTGTAGGGTTTCTAGATGTCTTTAGGGAGGGATGTCCAGGCTGTGGAGGTTTCGAGTCCGGTCGAGGTTTGGGAGTTCGGGGTTCGGGGTTAGGGGTTAGGGTTTCGGGTTTAGGGTTTAGTGTTTAGGGTTCTTTGTGTTTTGGGTATCTCGGGGCGGGTGTTGGGGCTCAGGGAACTAAAGCAGATCTCCTACAAAAGCCTAGAGGGAAACCTCACCTAAGTAAGCCCTGAACCCGAAACCCGAATGCCCTAAACCCCAAACCCAAACCCTAAACCCTAAACCGCCTAAACCCTTGACCCTAACCATTCAGAACCAGTAGGGTCAGCGCGCGCGCGGATTCCAAAGACACTTCGACAGAGTCAACCCTCCCTCCGAACCCCAAACACGCCCGAAACCCAAGTTTTACAGGGGTTTGGGGTTCAGGGTTTGGGGTTTAGGGTTCAGTGTTCAGGGTTTCGGGTTGAAACCCGAAACCCTGCACCTCGCGGCGGTAGGTGCACTTCGGGGGGAAGTCGTGGTACGGCGTAGCTCTGGCCGGCAGCTCAGGTTCTCATGTGTCGCTCCCTCAACCCTCAACGCCTTATAGACCCTTGGCCCCAAACCCTAAACCCTAAACCCTAAACCCTAGACCCTAAACCCTAAACCCTAAACCCTAAACCCTAAACCCTAAACCCTAAACCCTGAACCCTGAACCCTGAACCCTGAACCCTAAACCCTAAACCCTAAACCCTAAACCCTAAACCCTAAACCCTAAACCCTAAACCCTAAACCCTAACCTTCGGACTTTAGGGTATAAGGCGGTGTAGAGGCTAGGGTTTAGGATAGAATTCAGGCTTTGAGGTTAAGGACAACAGAAGCAAATAGCCTAAAACCTAAATCAACATCCAAACCCTAAATCTTAACCCTAACCCGAAACCCGAAACCCGAAACCCGAAACCCGAAACCCGAAACCCTAAACCCTAACCCCCCCCCCAAAAAAAAAAATGAAGCAAACAGCAAGATAGCAACAAAACAACAAAAACAACACAAAACAAGCAAAAATCGCCGCCGAGGTCGGGAACGCTTTGTTGATCTTCTCAGCTGCCCTGATTCCGAACCAGCGCTTGCTGTCGGTAGCCTGGCCTGGCCCTAGGTTTCAGGTTTACAGGGTTTGTGGTTGAGGGTTTAGGGTTCGGGGTTTAGGGTTTGGGGTTTAGGGTTTGGGTTTAGGGTTTGGGTCTTAGGGTTTGGGGCTTAGTGTTTGGTGGGGGGCTGAAGCCCGCTGGCTTCAAGACAAGTTGCAAACCCTCCACCTTTAGAGGTTATCGCGTTGCGTAAATTCTTCGTTTACCCGGCTGCGAGTTGTTGCCTGTTTTGGGGAAGGGAGCGAGTCGACGACGTGTTGCTTTACCGAGTGTTTCTTGAGCAAACCTTTCAACCCTAAAGCCCTAACCCCAAAACCCCAAGCACTATTTGGGGAAGAGCCCCCCCAAAACAGAACAATCCCTACATTGCTCTTATAAGGAAGACGTTTTGTTTTTGTTTTTTTAAATCCTTTGGTGGTTCATAAGCAACTCCTAGAAAACCCCTAGGCAGACAAGATCGGCATGGGGGGGTTCTTAAGGGCGGGGGGTTCATCGGGGGTAGGTACTTAGGGAACCTTAGGGAAGCTTAGGGAGCCTTAGGGAGTAGGAGTATTAGGGAGCCTTGGGTTATATACCCCCCTTGAACCCCTCTCCCTTAAGAGCCCTGTCATGACGGCACGGAGAGGAGGGAGCTGGGTTTTGTGGCTGTTACGCCGTCTTCGGGGTCATGTAAGGTTATCGTTCTTGGCTGCCCTGAGGCCTTAAACCCCTTCTCGAGGCTCTTAGGAGGTAGCCTTCAACACTAAACTCCAACACCCTAAACCCTAAGCCCCAAAGCACAAACCCTGGGGTTTAGGGTTTAGGGTTTAGGGTTTAGGCTTTAGGCTTTAGGGTTTAGGTGTTAGGGACCCTAAGCCCCAAAGCACAAACCCTAGGGTACCTTGGGGCCGAGAAAGCCCAGCCCCAAGCGCCCAGGTATGTCTGATTGCCACGGCATGTGGTCTGCAGCGGCCTGGCTCCGCATAAGACCTTAGGAACCGAAGACCCTAGAGCCCTAAAGGGTTTGGGCTTTTAGGGTTTGGGTTTATGGTTTAGCGTCTAGGGTTGAGGGTTTAGGGTACCTTAAGACCCTAAGGCCCTCAAACTTGAAGACCCTCAGACCCTCAAGCCCTAGACCCCAAAAGCCCCCAACGCTGAATCGATCGTGCGTCTGGGGTTGGGGTTCAAAGTTTGGGGCTTCACGGGCTAGAGGGTTTAGGGGTTCGGTCTGTCCCTAAACCCTAAACCCTAAACCCTAAACCCTAAGCCCTAAACCCTAAACCCTAAACCCTAAACCCTAAACCCGAAACCCTAAACCCTAAACCCTAAACCCT